CTCAATCGGATATCGGAATACAAAGTTATGATAAAAACAATGAAGGAAGGTGCAGCTGCCTGTTTAAAACAAGAAATTCCGTTACATAATCCGTTAAAACAACAAATTCTGTTAGTTTTTCCGTTAAAACAAGAAATTCCGTTACATAGCCACTTTTAATATATAGAAGATTTAAAAGTTATGAGTACATTATTATTTAAAATATCAATGATTTTTTTATAAATTCTTCGTGTTCTGAAATTTAAGTAGGAAGTACAAAAAAATTATACAATTTTTCTCCCATCCACCACAGATTTTGAAAAACTTAAAATAAAAATAAAAATAAAATAATGTTGTTCATTTCTAATATATATTATCTTCTTTGAGTCGCTTTTGCATTATCCGATAAAATTGGAATACATTTTTAATATTTGAATAATATGAGAAAAGTGACACCATTGACACGTGGACAAGAGATTATCTCCATTATAAATAAATAACATTATTTGAAAAAAAAATCTTTCAATCTATGTCAAACACGAGTTAAATATAAGTCGGATTTTCCAATTCCTCGTAGATGTACATATACTAAACCCTTGTTTGGTAAATTAAAATTAATTTTAAGTAGATTATAATAAAAATTGATGAAATATATAATTAAAAAGTTGTGAAATTTTATGAAATATATGATTAAAATTATTTATTAATTCTTCATCTACATCAAACATGAGCTAAATGTAAGCGGGGCAGGCCGATTCTAATTACGCAATAGAATCTAAGGGCTTTTGTGGGCACTAGAGCTTGGGCTGGATTTCTGATACAAGCCCATATCAATGGTTTTTAGATAAACAAATCTAAGCCCAGTCCACCATTTTGTGGACACAACCATAAACTCAATATCACCCACGGAACAGTATTTATTTATTTATTTCTTATAATGCGCCAGGGTTACGATTTTAACAGAGATAAAATTTTTACGTTAATGTTATCTGGCGAGATATCGAAGTTGATTTGCATTTTTGAATTTCTGTTGCAGATCTAAGTACAACCATGGCTGAGGAGGAAAATCCAAACGAAGTTAAGGAGGAGGCAGGAGATGTAAGTTTCTATCTTATCTTCTAGTTTTATGATGCTATACCTGCATTGTCTTGTTCACAGTAGAACATGTATACTTGTATTTCTTTTAGATACGGTGGCAGTGACAGTATTTGTAAATTACTGC